CTCAGCAGCTATCTCAGTAAGTTGTCCTACCCTTTAAAAAAAAGAAGAACACAGGAGATAATTTCAGTATAACAGTATTTTCATCATTGTCTTCTACTACATAATTCTAGTTCCTGGTTTGTTTGGGGTTTGTTTTGTTTTGCAATTTTTAGGGAAGGGTCTACAGGGTGTTCAGGGTCTCACTACTTCATCGGACTCATAGTGATCCACCTGTTTACAGTCTCCCAAGTGCTAGGATTCCAGGCATGTGCCACCATGCCCAGTCTCATTCACCATCTCAGCACACCCTGTGGGTGGGGCCGGTACGGCAGGCCCAGGGATCGAACCCCCGGCCCCTGCGTCTGCTTGCAGGCACTTCAATCCGCTGAGCTATTTGGCCAGCCCTCTAGCTCCTGTTTTTAAAAGTTACTTAGAAGTAACTAAGAAAGTTACTTTCTTCAACATGTCCAATATGTTGAAGGGGGAGATATAAAACACAGGTACTCCACAGAGGTTGATTAAAAAACAATTTAAGAAACACAAATAAAAGCTAGAGTGGCATTTCGAGAACTACCTACAAGTCTTATAGCAGTACAGGACTTCTCACAGTACAGCAGTGTGCCACAAGGTTTTGTTTGGTTTTTTGTTTTTGTTTTAATTCAAATCTTCCCATTTTATTTTAAAATAGGTTCCTAGTGTACCAGAAGTTTAAATACAGAAATAATGAAAATCTATTGCCCCCTGCTGGACAATCAAATTCTCCCATGAAACACAGGCAAAATAAAAGTTAAAAGTTCATGTTAGGGGCTGGGGAGATGGCTCAGTGGAATAACTGCTTCCCTGGCAAGCCCAAGGGCCTGAGTTCAATCCCCCGTTCTGCCAAAAAAGACAAATAAAATAAAATGTGGTAGAGAAAACTATTTGTAGTAAAAATGAGTTCCTTAAAAAACAAAATTTTTATTTTTAAGACAGATTATTGGTACATAATCTGAGTGTGCCTCAAATTCCCCTCTCGACCTTGAGTGCTGGGATTACAGGTATGTGCTACCACACTAGGTCCTTAAAGAAATGATTTCATCTTTCAAAACATCTGTATTTTCTTTTCACTTTTTTTTTTTAATGTATTTAGGACAGGAGCTAGAGGGTCTACAGGGTCTCACTACACAGATGGACTCCTACTTATTCTCCTGTGTTCAGCCTCCCAAGAGCTGGAATTACAGGCACACAACCATGTCCAATCCCAATCACCAGTTCAGCATGCCCCAGGGCGGGGCCGGCATGGCCTGCCTGAGATCGAACCAGGCCATTGCGCTCTGCCTAAGCAGGCGCTTTAGTCCACTGAGCTACCTGGCCAGCCCAACATCTCTATTTTTTAAAAGTCCAAAGCTTAACATTTTTCAAACAGGATCTATAAACTTTCACACTTACAATGCCCTGAACTTGAATATTAAATTTAAAAATCCCTAACCTTGTTTTGAATTTGCATTATGTCATTGGTTTCACCATATGGCCAAAGAAACAAATTCTTTTTGTTTTTGTTTTCTTATTTGCTTCTTTTTATGGTCAAACCCTTAGCCTCAGAGCAAGGGGCAAGTGAGCTATGGCAGAATGCAATAAAAATACAGGGTGCATTTAAATTATTAAAAGGAATATTACAGTAGAAGACTCGCTGCTGTCAACTTCCCGCACAACACTCTGTCCCCAAACACTCTCACTCTGGTCACTATCTGAAGCAGCCCTGAAAGTCCTTTCCTGTGGGCTCCAGCTGCCCTGGCACAGCTGCCTCGCTGTGCTCACCAACGCGACGTGTCTCTTGCGTCACTCTGACTTTGGTGCAAAGCCTGGAGGGCCAGGGTGCCACTTCAAATGCAGACATGAGGACACACAGAACTGCTCTTACAGTTTGCCTTTTCACTGTGTCCTCAACACGCTTCACAGATTCTCGGGGAAGAAGATGCCAGAACTGGTTGGGCGGCCATCATGGTGGGGAGTCTCTGGGGAGCCTGTGGCCACCTGTCTCCTAGAGTTTTAATTTCTACACTCACCATATGCGATGGTTTATGTCCAGCTGTCCCCCCAAAGCCTCACGCAGTCACTGGGGCAGGCTTCTGGAGTTTGTGATTAATTCATGACCCTGTGCTTGGGATTATGGGCGTGAGTGAGACACCCTCCCTGGGGCCAACAGCCTGAATATAACCGAAGGAAGGGAGCGAGGCTGGCCGCAGTCACCACTCCTCTCTTCGCTCTTGCCATTTGCTGCCACCATGAACGGCTGCCCTCTGCCATGTGCCACTCTGCCTTGGAGCCAGCTGAGTGTGGACTGAAACCTCCACTAACTGTGAACTGAATAAGCCTTTCCTTACTTCACTTTGAGTGTTGGGTATTTTGTCCGAACAACAGAAAAGTAATCGAGACACCATACTTTCACCACCCATGAACAACTGTCCTGAAAACCCTTTTATTATGAAACGGTAACATCTGACTTACGTGGTAAAACTTTTCAATTAAAATATAAGGAAAGTCCTGAGCTCTAAAGTAAGGATTTTTTTTTAAATGGTAATACAACACTGAAGATGTAGTATCTCTTTAATATCTAAAATTGTTTTCCTTTTTTGTGTGTGTATTTTAGGGAAGGGTCTACAGGGTGTTCAGGGTCTCAATACTAAATCAGACTCATAGTGATCCATCTGTTTACAGCCTCCCAAGAGCTGGGATTACAGGCATGCACCACCATGCCTAGTCTCAGCACGCCCCAGGGTCAGGACCGGCACAGCAGGCCCATGGAACAAACCCCTGGCCCCTGCGTGGTTTGCAGGCGCTTTAATCCACTGAGCTATTTGGCCGGCCCTTCTTTTCCAAATTTTTTTTTTTTTTTTTTTTGTATGCTTACAGTAGTAATGGCCCCATTCTTCATGAGGTGGTGGAGCACGCATGTGACACACCTGAGTTCGAGTTCCCCTCCCCCTTCCCCACCCCCAGGTCTCCTCCCACCTGATCTCTCGTCAGCTGACTCACCCCCCCCAACACGTGCTCTCAGGGGCTTGCATCCAGGTGCCTATGCGTGACTCAGGTTTACTCCTCTTCGTGGCAGAGTAAGACTTGCTGTCTATAACTTCATTTGCCTTATTCATTTGTGGATGGCGTACAGGCTGCGTCTAAGACCTAGCCATTACACACTACGCTCCTACAAACACGGCGTGCTGGTATTGCCGCTGTATGTTGGGGACACACCCACCAGGGAAACAGCAAGGTCGAACAGAACTCCTAGTTTTAGTTTCTTGAGCTGTCGCCTACTGATCTTCACAGTGGCTGTACTGGTTTATACACCTTCCAGCAACACAGAAAGGTTCCATCTGCCCTCGCAGCCTGGCCAGTGTTTGTTACTATTCGATGTCTTGGTGATGGCCACTGCTTCTGGAGTAAGATAAAATTTCAGTATTGTTTTGCTTTGCACTTGCGGCATGGCCAGAGATGCTGAACACTCTATCATGCCTTCATCAGCCATTTGCATTTCTTTTGAGAAGTGAATATTCACTTTAGTTTCCCATTTTTTGATTGAGTCTTTTATTACTGAGAACCTAATTCTTACATATTCCAGATGTCAGTCCTCTGTTTGAGGTAAGCAGGCAATCACGTATTCCCACTCTATAGGCTGTCCCTTCACTCTGGTGATTGTGTCCTCGGCTATGGAGAGCTTTTTAATTTGCGAGGATCCGGCTTGCTGACATTGTTTCTTGCGCAGTCGGGCCTCTGTTGAGAAGCCCCCACCTACGCCTGCATCAAGGCTTCTGGCTATTCTGTTTTCCAGCAGCTTACTTCTATTTTAACACTCCAAGGATCTTCGACTTGCTCTGATCTGAGCTTAGTGCACAGCGAGCGCATCACAACGGCTCGTCCCTGCGAGGTGCTCTCTACTTTCACCTCATCTCTGGCTTGCGCTTTGAGCCACTCCTAACCATTATGCAGAGAGCAAGCCCTGCAGCTTAAGAACTTCTCTAGTCAAACTTTTAATTATTCACAAGATATTTTCTTCCCATGAAGAATATAATGAAAAACAAAAAGCTAGGAAACATTTACACTGTGACATTTTTCTGCTCTAATTTTCTTAATCATGTTGACTATAAAAAAGATAGGCACTCTAATAGATGACAACAGGGGTATAAATTACATCAAGCGTTCTGGAAACTTGGTAATAAATACACAAAGCCTATAAAAACAACCACACCCTTTCACTTCTAGGAATTTACCCTAACAAAAAAGCTAGAAATGTCAAAGATGTACTTACATACAAAGAGAAAAATAACCTGAACAACCTAAAAAATACACCATTAGGGAAAAGGTAAATGAAACTTGGTATATATGATGGATTAATATAAATTTTTTTAAATATTTTGAAACATTTTGATTAAAAATTCAAGATTTAATTGAATGAAAAAAATCAGATGAGCAAATATATATGTGTGTGTGTGTGTGTGTGTAAAATACAATGAAATGTAAATAGAATCTTGTGTTCATCTCCAGATTAATAGTCTTTAGTTATATATATATATATATATATATATATATATAATATTTATTGTTTGTTTGTATGCAGTCAAGGCTGGTCTTGAACTCACTATGTAGCCAGGGCTAAATAGTGAACTTGCAGTGACCCTCCTGCCTCAGCCTCCCAGGTGCTGAGATTACAGGTATGCATCACCACATCCAGCTTTTATCTTTATATTTAATTTTACCAATTCTCCATAGTTGAGAAGTTTTAAAAGATTCTTAGAACTTAGACAAGTAAAACATGCTGATATTCCTGTTGAAAGAATTAAAACTGAAAGATTAATTTTAACTGCAAATAAAAGAAATGGCATTGTCCGCACCTCAAAACCTAGCCGTTCTTCTAGTATTCCTTTTCCAAACTAGGCATGTGATCCTGAGACTTCTCAACCTCTTCTGCTCTATCACATTAACATTACTAAAACTCCCGCACTGGCAGCAGCCCCCTCCTTCCCTCTGCCACGCGTGCTGCTTACCACACACATGATGTAGGACAGGATGGCGCCCGAGGAGCCGATGAGGGCCCCCACAATGGTGAGCAGGTTGTTGTTGAGCAGGAAGCCCTCCGCACACAGCGCCCAGCCTGAGTAGCTGTTGAGCACAGTGATGACCACAGGCATGTCAGCACCCCCAATGGCAGCTGTCAGAGTCACGCCCTAGGACAAAACCCAAGCAGAGCTCAATAATATAAACATAACACCCTGGACCTTTCACTCCTTGATTCTTAACTAGTCCATGTCTCCAGCTGATACAGTTCCACGCAAGTTTTACTTCTGGTGCCTTCCATATGATCCTCTCCCTCATAGATATAATGACTATAAGCACTGAGCCATCCCTTCACCCTAAAAAAATAAAAATAAAAAATAAAAAACCATAAAATAAAAGCAGTGATGTAAAGCAGGCAGAAACTGGAGAGAAGTCTATACTTGGAAAACTATGATGGCACTAAATGAATTTCACAGCTTTATGGCTTTGGACAAAAGTCAAACCGCTGCTGGGACCAAAGGGAGGAGCAAGGCTCTGTGAGGCACGCACAGGACAGTCAGCGTGCAGACGCTGGTCCTAGAAGCTCTAGCGACCGCAGGAGGGCCTGCAGGGCGGCAGCTGGCAGGACGTGGCGCCTCGGCTTCAGGTGCAAGCTCTGTCCAGGCCTCTGCCTGACGCTTAAACGACGCATGTGCGGCAGGCTCCACGTCTCTGCTAGGGACAGACAGCACGAGGTGCCAGCTGCCCCCGCCAGAAGGGGGCCAGGATCTGAAATTCTAGTCCAGCCAAGTTAGCTGCCTACAAAAACAAATTTAAAAAGTTTTAATCAATACTCTTTGGATAAATATAACAGAATCCAAGAATGTAGAACACATCATTAACAATGTCTGTGATGCAGCCCAAAATCACGCACACAGAAAATGAAAGCAGGGTGAAGAGAGAGCACTGCTTTATATTCCTCATGCTCGTGCACTTTTCTTGTTTGTTACTACCTGAGTATTTCTGCCTATGACTTATTTAATCCAAAAGCAATTAAAGTAAGAGCACACTTACCTCACGCAGGTGCTCCCACAGGAGCACTCGCGACCTTCTGAGCACATTCACTGCATCTCAAAAATAGCAACAACTGAAGTTTTACTTTTCTACACTAGTGGTTTGATTTTTAGACTTTTTAACTTCTGCTTTATTAGATTAAAATAATAAATCTACTTTTCTTCTGTTTAAAAGAAAACAAAAATCATTACTAACTGGACAAGACTAGATTATCAGCATTCACATAATGATAGAATTTTTTTTTAAATATTTATTTATTTTTATTTATTACATTTATTTATTGTGTGTGTGTGTGGCCAGCTCAGCCCACCAGGGGGCACGGCTGGCTGGCATGTGATGCTGGGGATCGAACCGCGGTCCCTGTGCTTTGCCAAGCTTGTTTCAAGTAGGTGCTTTAGACCACTGAGCCATCTCTCCAGCCCCTATGATAGAATTTTAAGTTACCTTTCAGCTTTCTAGAGTTTCTGTACTGAAATCATGACCTAACTCACAGGATCACACAGAAATCAATACCATTTTTATACTGTACATCTTATATTTCTGAATCAAGTAACCAGTAAATGTTTAATAAGCAATTATATGTCCAACTTTTTGCTGGACACTGAGGTAATTTAAAAAACAAACTTAAAATATAAACCTTCCCTAAACAAGTACCCCCAGATGAAGCAATTAGTAAATAACACTAAATTGCATATACCACACACACTATAATGATATACATATAAAAGAAAAAATATATATATACACAATGAAGTGCAAAACAGTAATACATAAAACAAAAAGTACTATATCCTACGTATTATATACACTAAATATAAAAGTGATAGAAGAGGAAGAGCAAATCTAAAACTGAAAGGCTCGACTCCTTCACTAAACACGCAGGGCCTACTAACTGCACTTCATCCTACGGTGTCAGATTTTCCATGAACGTGAGGACAACTAACAGACAGCTGCCAGCTTACACACACTGTGTGACTGTCCAAGCAGTCCCCTGGGGACGTGTCACACAGCAGAAACTTAATGGAGTTGATTCTCCTGAGATTTTTAAACTCCTATTCACTAATGCACTGACCCAGTAAAAAGACTCCAGAAAAATAAAGATGCCACATGTGCCAACTTTTAAATTAGCAATGGAGAGAGTGCTTGTCTTCTTATATTTTCTCCATTCTATGGATTTGGCAGGGGTCTCACGATGCAGCTGGGACTCAGCAATTGTCCTGTCTTCCGTCTCCCCAGTGCTGGGATCACAAGCATGCGCCACCATGCCTGGACTTGGGTGTCAGCTCAGTGCGCCCAGAGGGCAGGGCCGGCACAGCATGTAGTACCATGGATCGAACCCGGTCCCTGCGCTTGCCTACGGTGGCACTTAATCTACTGAGCTATCTCGCTGGCCCCATTTTCTCCATTCTAAAACACTTCATGCATGTAATAAAATTTGAAAACATTTTTATTCCACTGGTGGTCTTGATGAACCAGATACGTGGTCAGACTCTAATGGAACAAGATACTCCCAGCCCTCACTAAGTGTGCTGCACGTCTCCATCTGGCTTCTTACCATGACAGCAGAGAGGGCTGACACAGAGCCCAGACACGTAATGCCCGTAGTGAAACTGGGGTCCACCATGAAGGGGATTACTCCACCCACACTGGCAGCCAGCAAGCCTGCGTTGAGTGCGTGTCTTCCAGGTAGCAGGAGAGGGGCAGAGTTCAAGATACCTAGACCAACACACACAGTGTCCAGTCTCCAGTATAAGAAAGCACCTCACACACACACACACAGACACACGTACGTGTATGTCATTTAATCCTAAACTACCAAAATTTAATAACAGAATAAAATAGTATTCAAAATATTACTTTATAACAAATATTACTTTATAACACCAGATATGAAACATCAAAGCATGTTAGAGTTATTACATATAACAACACTAATAGACAGGAAAAGTATGATTCAAATTAATTGTTCTTTTCCTTACTTTGATCACATAATTTCTTTATTCTCTGCCATGGAATCTTAAAACACGATTTTTTTTCCAGTATGACCAACACAGAAGTTGTTAAGTATGGTTTTATTTATTGAAAACTTCAATACAGAGCCCCAGTATACTAACATCCTGATCCCATCAGCCAAGCCCAAGGGAGAAGAACCCTTGTGCATTAGCTGTTTTTGAAAACAAAGGCTAAGCCTGAATGGCTTAAGCTTGAAGTTCTTTTATGATTTTTAAAGTTCTGTGGAGGTTCTACACTTAATGACTTTATTACTGAGAGGCAAAACCATATTTTTAAATCACAAACTAGTTTCTCCAGGGACCCATTTGTTGCAGAAAACACAGGCAGCAGCCTCTCTGCACTCTCTCCGCCCCTTCTTTGCATGCTTTACTGTAGCACTGACATGCTTGGGCCTAAAATGTCATTTGTTCTCAGATGGGGTACTGTTTACCAATCATACATACTTAACAAGCTTCTCAATGTTCTGGGGAATGTATAAAATTTATTTCTGTGAACTCTACAGACATTCCTAACCAAATATCATATGAAAGTTACTTTATTTATATATACTATAAATTGTCTTCCTTTTTTTTTTTTTTTTTTAAGACAGGATCTTGTTATATGGTTCAGGCCAGCCCTGTGCTCACTTCTGTATCCCCCAGGCTGGTCTCAAACTCACAGTGATCCTCCTGTCTCAGCCTCCCAAGTGCTGGGATTGTAGGTGTGCTCCTCCACACCCAGTTCCAGGCCAGCACAGCATGTGGAACCAGGGATTGAACTCCAGACCCTGCACCTGCCAGGCAAGAGCTTTTCACGCTGAGCTATCTCCCCAGTCCCTAAGCTGTCTTCTTGTTTCTACACAAATTTCCACACATTAATTTCTGTTGATAGCTATGCACAGAAAAAAGTTTCAAAGATTTGATCCTTGTAAGATTAGTAAAAGGACACCGGCTTTGTGAAGAAAATCTTTCCTGTATTTCTGAGTATTATATAAATACTCCTCATTTAACAGTTTCTACCATGAAGATATATTCTGAAATTAAAATCAACCTACCAATACTCTAAACAACAGACATTTGTCTAACCACTTACCTTGCAGTTTTCCATAGGCAACAAGAGACCCACTAAAAGTGACACCACCAATGTAAGTGCCAAGGTAAGCCACAATCTTGGTGAGATTTGCAGTCGCATCCGTGGCAAAATGGGGGTACTCTACGATGTACTCAGCTACGCAGGTCAGCACAGCTGCCAAGCCCACCAAGCTGTGGAAAGCAGCAACCAGCTGGGGCAAGTCAGAAATCTGGATGCGCTTGGCAATTGCCAACCCTGGTGGGACACCAAGACCAAAGGCACATTAGAACAGAGGCAGCCACAGCAGAAAACACACAGTGGCTTCTACTGCTGTTACCAGTGAAGCTGCCTGAGAGCTCTCTACAGGGCCCGAGACAAGGCCGAGACACTGGGCCCACGTGTACGCACCTTCGAAGTGGCAGCCTTTCTCCACACAGCCGACCAAACAGACAAGCCGCACCGACACATGCCTCTCTCCCAAATTCTCCTACTCTCCTAACCAGACGCTTCTTCAAACTACTTAAAGCTTCAACTCAGTCTCCCTCAATTCTCCCCACTGAACGAACGGTCTAGGCCCTTCTGCTCTATGGCCAACTCTTGTTCCTGTGCACTTACGAAAGAACTGGAACATAAAGGAAAGCAGGTTTTCCTATGACGGGGTCAGAGCCAAGTCCAGAGGGAAAAGAATGCACGTTTCTGAGCCAGGAATGCCCAATGAAAGGACCCCAAAACGGTTTCCTGCCGTGGAAGAGGCACTCAGAGCATCTGCAGTCACGCCTCAAGCGCTTGAGCCTGCAGCACAGGCACACCCTCAAGCGTCTCTCCAGGGATTTTCAAGAACTCAAAGAAAGAAAGAAAAGCCTAAGCCAACACTACACTGAAAACACTTACTGACTAGCTTATACAGGAGAAAACGTGTGTACACACAGATACATGTATTTGTACTGAAAAGATTTTAGCATACAACTTTCAAATAACACACAGCACCCTTGATCCCCAGCTCCATGCAGCAACTTCACAGAATCTTTTCGTTGATTGCACTACACTCTTATGTCTGTGGCCACCTTGGTGTTTGCAACAGACAGCTGCGCGACTCCCGGTGCAGCACTGTTAGTGCCTCCCGCCAGTCACAAGAACACGGAAGTCAGTGCCACGCGGTCCCAGCACGGACGAGACGCGTGAGAGCCTCTCCTACTGCCAACAGTGTGAGTGCCCTCAGGCTCTAACCACAGTTTTTAAACAGTAGGAGCCTAACTGCTCAACTTTTTTGATATTAACAATGCAGTGTATTTTAAATTTAAGCTCCAATATTACTCTCTCAGACCTGAAGAATAAACAAGTAAATCAGCCCTAGATTTATAGCTGGTATTCATTTCCACGGTGTAAGTGCTTTGACCACAGACAACTCAACCTCCCAATGTGACATCTTTCTTCTTTTTTAGAGACAGGGTTTTGGTATATAGTTCAGGCTGGCCTCGCACTTACTACGTAGCCCCGACTGGTCTCCAATTCCCAGAATCTTCCTGCCTCAGCCCCCCACATGCTGGGACCACACACATGAGCTACCAAGCCTAACTAATGTGACACTGAATGTGAGATCAGGAGGACATGTATACAAAATAACTTTAAGAACATAAGTAATAAAGCCTAGCACATAAATTGGAAATGTGTGTTTTAATTTTACTTTTGTTTTTCAATATAATTTACTGAACTTAAATTTATACAATTTTGTTATAATACCAGTATTTAAAAAGCATCTCACAGAAGACAGTGTCGCTAGCACTCCACTGGATGAGACTCAACGGTCGCTTTTCTGCTACCTCATGCTTCTTTGAAGTTTTTAACAGGGCTGTGATAAAGAATCTTGGATTATCTATAACCAGCAAAACACAAGACAGGCCTCTGGGAGGTACACGTGTAACTGTTCTAATCTCCCACTCTTAGCCACCTGGACACAATGAGGCAAAGTAAGAACTGAGGTTAGTTTTTAGCCTCTATTTTGACCTAACATTCAATATGTCAAAAATATCAGTATTTGAAAATTATACCCATTATACAATAATTTCCATTAAGATGATTTCCCGAGTTCAATCCCCAGGACTGTGGGGTGGAGGGGTACAATGCAGGTGAAAACCTCATTTCTGAAGATGTTAATGTCAGTGTCCCTCTTCTGTTTACAAATGCGAATGTCACTGTTTAGAACTGCTGGTAGTACTCGATACAGTAACAGGCCGTGCAGTATGCGGGCCCAGGACGACAGCAGGCACACCCTGTGTGAGTACACTCGGCGACGTCTGCACAGGAGGGCACAGCCTGAGAGGGCACAGTCCTGAAAACATGTCCCTAACACGTGCGCGGCTGCGTTCCCAGGCCCGAGCCCGGCCACCCTCGGGGGGCCTGGGGTTCCCCTGGAGGCAGAGCCCTTGACCGCTTACCAATGGTTCCGCCCATCGCCATCGCGCCAGACATCTGTGCTAACAATTCTGGGCAGGGCTTTAGGCCTCCGAGGGTCGCAGCCAGGCCTCCGGCAACCCCGATCATGCCCAATGCGTTGCCAAGACGAGCTGTTCCCTGGGTAGAAAGGCCGGCCAGGGCACCGACACAGCACAAGCCGGAGCCCAGGTACATGATCTTTTTAAAGGAAAAGGGAGAGAGATTATTAAAATTTCAGTCTGCTGTTCAACAAGGACCACCCATGGAAGCACAATCCCCTAAGTACAACTGAAGTTCCACTTAAGGAAAGACAGATCTGAGCACTTCTTTTAGTAACTCATTTCATTCTCCTACTCGATATCATCGAGAGGGGACCAGAAATATAGCTCAGCAGTGCAGCGCCTGAGTTCAATTCCCAATACCCACAAAACCCAAAATATCAATAATATGCTAAACATTTTAAATTGCACTTAACATTGTATCAGCTGAGGTTTCTTGCACTGCAGATTATCCACAAATACATGTAAAAGCACAACTAAATTTACATGGGTTCTTTTGGGGACTGAAAATGCTAAACGTGCCCTACTTTTGGGCAGGAGCCAGCCCCACAACCGAGTGGCGGGAACTACGCATGCACTTTCCTCACATAGCCACTCGGTCTCCTGAGACCCCCACAAGGGCAAAGTCACTGCCTTTATGTCACAGAGCAAAGCACAAAGCTCCCATGTCACCCCAGGTCAAGTGATCAACAAATGCAAATCTGGACTCCATGTCTGGGTCTCTGCCTTGCTGCCTCAGCGCTTCTCAAAAAGGGACAGCAGCTTGCTCATCCAACAGGCCCTGCTGCTGGGCAACAGGAGAAGCCAAGGCATGCTTTCCTGCCGTTGGCGGCTGCGACACAGCGACAGTCACTGACACGAAATGGAAAGTACACAGTTCAGATCAAAGCTGAACCTGTATTATTTTGCAACAGCCTCATGACTTCTCTTTTACTACCTGGCATTGGTTTTTAAGTCATCTTTTTGAAGTGAACTGGTATAACATTTTGTGGCAACATGAGGTCATGTGCTAGATTTTTAGAGAAACAAAGAAAGTAGCATAAAGATTAACAGCACTTGACAGAAATCTTTCCAATTTCTTCCTGAGTATTTCATTGAATCCTCACAACAATCTAGCCTGGTTCATACAGAAGACCTTAATACTTCTTTACTCTTTATGTGTGAAATACTTAGAACCAAACACCCAAGTCCATACCAAGCGGCACAGCTCTCCCCAGCATCTAGGGTCTTAGCCCTTAGGGAGCACGGATACCCTGCTGCACCAATACATTTCCATAATTACTGGTGTATTTGCTTGATAAGACTGTATTTTCTTGATAGTTTCAAGTTTGTAATAATAACATTAAGTCCAATGGGAAAGGAAATAGTTGTAAAAAGAAAAACTTTCAAAAGCCCTCGTACTTGTTCAACGCTATAGCCACTGTAGAGGGCAGCCAGATAGCCCCCGACGAAGGTGCCGGCAGGGAGCAGATACAGGTAGTTGTACTCCGGGGGGTCTGTAGGGCGCTTGAACATGTCCAGCATTCTCTGAGTCACCAGAAAGCCACCTAATCAAAGCAAAAGACAGCAAAACAGCAAAGGTATCACATCCGAGCTCACTGAGAAGCGTGACATCTTGAAGTGCTACAACATTTTTATAATTATATCTTAATCATTTAGGGATAATTCCAACTTGAAGCAAACTTCTGGAACCTCAAGATCAAAGGCAGTCTTATTTAAGCCAGCTCCACCGGAGTGGAGGGAGCGCTCTGAATCCAGGCAGGAAAGGACCTGCCACCCGAGCGCAAGACCAACTATTGCTGCACAGTGAAAAGCACGCAGCCACACAGGAAGCTTGCAAATGCAAAGACCAGAGGTCAGGGTTTTTTCTAATGGAGTCATCTTCTTGCTAAACCCTAATAAGTAATAAAGGAAAATACCCTATCCACAGTAACCAGTCTTCTTAAATAAAGAATTTTTAACCACAAAACAGCAAATGCCTGTCATATGTGGTTGGTGTGCTAGACTTTCAGTTTGCAAGAACACTGGCTGCAACAAGGCAAAGGACTAATATCGTATCCAAAGCTATTCTCATCAATAGACGCTATAGTTATGGCAGGAAGTCAGCATAAAACAGAACTCTGCACCTGAGAGGTCTCCAGTCAGTCTGCAGACTCTGCACCTGACAGTGCTCCAGTCAGCCTGCAGACTGTGCACCTAACAGTGCTCCAGACAGCCTGCAGACTCTGCACCTGACAGCGCTCCAGTCAGCCTACAGACTGTGCACCTGACAGCGCTCCAGACAGCCTGCAGACTCTGC